GTTGAGTGGCTTTGACCAATAAAGCCATTGTTGGCTGGAGCAATAAGGGAAGATCTTAAACTGGATCTTGAGAAGGACTTGAGTCTGATAGGCGAAATATAGGGTTAAAAGTGAACAGGGATAATGAACAGATTTGCTTAGGTAAAATAGTGCTTCAAACTAGGGCAAGACAAGAACAGAAAGTTTGAATGGCATCGATTGTCTTAATGGCATCGATTACCTGTAAGCTCTTCTGTTAGACATAAGCTTAGGAAAAACGACTGGGTCTTTTTTCATATTCCTTGCACAGGATCTGGCGCATAGGATACGCTCAACAAGTATTTGTTGACTGCCCCTGATGGGCTGGCTGGCTGGCTGACTGGCTAGTAGAAAACTTCAAAAATTAGCTCCAAGAGTTTTCTCTTTAGGTAATGATAAAATTGATATTTTAGGAAAATTCAGCTGTGATTGGAGTATAGAATGTCAGATGTGATGGAGGAGAATCATATACAATTAGGAAGCTCTTGCAGATTTTAGGAGGCTGAGAGAGAAATGGACAAACGGGTCTGGTTGGACATGGAAAAAAAAAGATGCTTTTAAGAGTTACTGTGAAGAAAGAATAGCTGAGAGGTCTCCCTTCCTTTCCTGTATCTCAGATCAGATTCCCTAGAAGCAGAGCTTGAGGTGAGGATTTTGGTGCAAGAGACTTGTTGAGGGAATACTCTCAGTTGAACTATGTAAGGGAGTGAGAGAAGGAGCCTAGAGCAGAGGAAGAAGCACAGTCAAGCCATGTGTTCACTGGAAATCTAGCCCCAGTCTGAAATGTAAAAGACACTAGAGAGTTGCCCCACTTTGAAGCAAGGGGACTGGCTACTATGTCCCAGAATCAGTCAATCATTGGCTGTCGGCTGTCTCCCTAGGTCGGAGGGAGGAGATCACAACCTTGCAGGCATTTCCTAGGTTTCTTACAGTCAACGGCAATTCTCAGAAGGGTGCTGCGATGGTCACAGAGGACTCACAGCAGCTGGAGTCTGAGTGCACTAGCCTGGTAAAAGGCACCTTGGTGGGGCACCAACAGTGTCTACTACACTCAGCACTATAGTCGACCCTCTGTATCCATGGGCTCTGCATCTGTGTGTTCAACCAACTATGAATCAAAAATATTCAGAAAAAAAGAACTATAAAAAGCAAAAATACAACAATAAAAACTAATACAAACAAAAATGTGTATAACAACTATTTACGTAGCATTGACATTGTATTAGGTAGTATAAATAATCCAGAGATGATTTAAAGTACACAGGGATGTGTGTAGGTTGTATACAAATACTACTACATTTTATATGAAGGACTTGAGCATCTACAGATTTAGGTATTCTAGGAGTCTTGAAACCAAGCCTCCATGGATATCCAGGGATAACTGCATTTTTTTCACATAGCACCACCCTGCTGAGAATCTTCCAACAGCTTCCATCACATCTGGAATAAAATCCAAATCCTTTATCTTGACCTGCACAATGTGGCCCCTTTCTGCCTTTTTGGCTTTAACCATATACACTCTCTCTGTATTCAAACTTTATTTTTCCTTCTTAAACATGCCAGGCCTATTCCCACTTGGAGCCTCTGTGCCTGGTTTTCACTCTGCCTGGAATACTATTCCCCAGATTTTCACAACTAACTTCTCATCACATGGGCCTCCCTGTTCAAACAGACCTTCCACTGTCAGTTTCTCAGCCAGAGGCTGTGAACTGCATAAGCAGCTCTGTCTTCCTTCCAGTTGTCATCCTGGTGCATTGACATGTGAACACCCAAAATATATTGTTGAATGAATAAGAAAATAGTTGGAGAGAAATGAGTAAGCAGTTTGGGTTCAAGGTCTAGTTGAGAGATTGGGTAACTGTGAAAGAAGTGGAAACGCTGACAGAAATAAGAACTGTGAAGGGTGAGTCAGTTTGTGCAGAAAGATATGAGATTTTGCTTTAGACATTGAATTTGAGAGATATGGTAGAGGCAGAAGAGTGCAGTGATTAGGAGCACAGCTTCTTGAACTAAATTCATATCCCAGTGCCACCACATCCCAGCTGTAATATCTTGGTCAAGTTAATGCCTCTGTGCCTCAGTTTCCTCAACTGTAAATAAGGATAATAATATTACCTATCTCATAAAGTTGTTGAGAGAACTAAATTAATGTCTATAAATCATATAAATAGAGTCTGGCTATAGCATTATTTTTCATGGAATTTAAGGAGTTCTGCATGTAAAAGAGACAGGTTAAGCCAGGGCTGAGACTAGAGTTGGGTGAGTGAAGCACCAATAGGACACAATTTGAGGAGGCACTCACTCTGAGGGTTGTGCGAGGGCCCTGCACAGGCTTCCTTAAAGTTTGCCTCAAGGACCTTCACTCCCCTCACCCTAGTCCTGGCCTTGGTCAAAGTAATCAAAGGGAAAACGCTTTATCAGAAAAATTCTCTAAATCTGGGCACCTGTAACATTTCCTGTCTCTGGCCTTAGTGGGAGTGGTTTCTTGCTCTTTCTAATCTGCGTTGCCTAACTGTCCTTTGGTTGCTTCTCACCCTTTTCTATCACTTACATAACTAATTCTCTGGAGTCAGTTCCCTCTGCTCAAATACTCTGAGTGGATTCTGTTTTCCTGATTGGACCGTGACTGATGTAACAATTTATATACTCCAGAGCTCCTTAACAACCAATAGGATTTCAGGGAGGTGAGGGAAGAAGCTAACATTTATGGAGTCACTTCATTATGTTAGATAATTTTACATATAAGATATTTAATCCCTATCAGGTAGTAGAGTGATGCTCACTAGATACTTTGTCAATGAGAAATCTGAGATTCAGAGAGGTATAATGCATCTAGTGACACTAAGAAACAGAGCTAGTGTTCAAATGTAGTTTGAAGGTAGAGCTAATACCTCTTCACCATGCAGAGCCTCTAGGGGCATCCAGATTGTGGGTAAATGCCCGTTAAACTACAATAATTCATTCTTTTTTTTACCCCCTGTGAGAGATTTTGTTTTTCCCTAGATGAATACTGACTGACAATGATTGGCACCTATAGGACCTCCCCCTCCTCTTTTTCTTTCTTCTTTTTTATTGAGGTCACATAACACAATTCACATAATGCAAAATTAATAATTTTAAAGTGAGTAATTTAGTAGCATTTAGTCACACTGTTATGTAACATCTCTATCTAGTTCCAAAATATTTCCATCATTTCAAAATAAAAACCATTACCCATTAAGCTTCTCTTCAGTCCCCTCTCTTCCCTGCCACTGGCAACCATCAGTCTATGTTCTGTTTTTATAGATTTACCTATTCTGATATTTCATGTAAATGGAATCATATAATATGTCACCTTTTTTATGTCTGGCTTCTTTGATTTAGCATAATGTTTTTGAGGTTTGTCTATATTGTGGCAAGTATCAGTACTTCATTCTTTTTTGCGGCTGAATAATATTCCATTTATGTATATACTTTGTACCACAATTTGTTTATCCATTCATCTATTGATGGATATTTGATTACCACATGTTGGCTGTTGTGAATAGTGCTCCTGTGAACATGTGTGTACATGTATTTACTTGAATGTTTGTTGGCTATTTATGAACTCATTAACTTATAGCTCATTTTTCTGTTATAATTTCTAATTCCTATCATTTTCAGTTTACAAAATGAAAATACTAACAAGTTTCTGTTAAAATGTTTTTTCTTTTTTTGAAGGCTTATGTCTATAGTCTTATAATTTAGTTTTAATTTAATCTGCAAATTTTGTTTATCTATCTGCCACAGTATATTTGTTTTTATATGTGTATATGTGTGTGGGTAACAGAGAGAGAAAGAGGGGGGTGAAAGAATAGAGGGTTTTTTGTTGTTGTTGTTGAACATTTAATATAGCCATTCTGAGACTTGAAGGTACCGCCACTGGCTTGTTTTTCATATCAATATTAGCAGATTTTATGTAAAATAACATTTGTAAGTCATAGAGGTCAAGCTTCTTTCAAGGTAAGTGCTAACAGAGAAAGATCTTTTGAAAATTTGGGCAAATTTCAATGCAAAATAGCAATAAATACAGCTACTTTCAGTTATCTATAAATAAAATTATGTTTCTCTCAGAACAAATAAGAGCAAATGAGGGAGGGATCATTGTATTTTTGTAATTTATGTAAGAAGAAAATATGATTAAAATAAACTGAATGTACAAATAAGTAACTCAGGTGCAAATTATTTATTTATGAAATAAAACCTCTTGAAAAGAGAATGCTGACAGCAACTTAGTATGCAATATACTGCACTCCTGTTCTTACCCTTACATTTTCAAAGTCATGCATAGTAATTTAGTTGCACTCATGTTTATATTAGTGGGAATTTTGAAACTTAAATTTCTGCGCACATCATTGAAAATGTATAGGTCAAAGTAAACTGTTAATGAAAAACTGTTACTCATTTTCAATCAAATGGTTTAAATCTCTCACCAAGGATGTCCTAGAAGGTACCTTCCTTATAGTCACAGAAGAATAATTATAGTATAATGTTACTATTTGGAGGTCATCATCTTTAAAGCAACATGGATAAGAAATAATATTCAAGAGAAAATGCATGTTTCCCAACCCTAAAGACATTAAAAGTTCAGGACCTAGGTTGTTTTATAGTAAGCAAAGGACATTGGACCTTTTCAGTGGTCCCTTTCAGCTGGGTGCATCTAATCAGTAACAGAGGCATGCTAAGGTGAATTTTAATTAGGACTAAATTGTGGTATTACTCTTTCATACCCTGAACATCTGTTCCCTTCAGAAATGATGATTTATGCAGGCTATCAGAGCAGACAGCTTGCTACAGCTTATGTCACGGTTAGTAGGAAGCTGGTGGTAGCATTTCAGAAAACCAGCATCTAAATGGAGACTGGACAGTGTATATTACACAAGTAATAGAGGGAGGGAAGTATGATGTGTCCATTTTTAATTTTGAAGCCAAATATTTACTTGACTTAAAAAATTATCTTCTAGACCATCTGTTGTTAATGAAGAAAGTAACTTGGACAATGAATGGGTTGATGCTTCCTACTGATGTCAAAAGACGGAAAACCAAGCCTGTTCTTTCTATTAGAATGAAGAAACTTACTGAGAGGACCTCAGTCCGAATTCTGTTCTTTAAGAATGGCATGGGGCAGGATGGACATGAGATTACAGTGGGAAAAGAAACGATGAAAAAGGTAATTTTGTATTAAATATTGAACTATGAATTCAATTTCAGAGTTTTGTGGCTTTTGAAATGTGTTGTTTTTTCTTTCTAAATATCAATGTCAACAAATACCTGAAATATTAGAAGACATTATATAGAACTAAAAATTGTGTATAAACCTGTTCATAAGTCTGCTTATTGCACTATTACCATAAATTACCTTAGCAAAGAAATAATATTTCAGGAAATTATTTGGGCAACATAGTTGGCCATTTACCTAGTTAAAATGTTGTGTTTATACTAGAGAAAACATTCTAATTTGTTAAAATATTTTATAAGCTAGTTTGATTGAAGCCAGTCCAACCTAACTTCCAATCTCAAATCTGCCTCTTTTCATTTAGAATAATAGTAAGACCTAAAAGCATTGTTGCTCCTCTAAAGAATTAGCAAAGCCCCAAATCACTAAAATGCAGTTTGAAAGTATTCATATAAGTTTTTAAAAATAAATCTAAGGGAACTAAGAAAAATTATGAAACAATCAAGCAAATTTTAAAAAACAAAATTTAAAGTGTTACTTGTCATACAAATGCATGATTTTTGGAAGGTACTTGTACTTCCTAGAACATTTTGATATGAAAAAAATACAGAGGAGCTAATGGGAATTTCAAACACACACAAATTTTTACACAGATAAGGATTTTTCAACCAATTTTAAAGCAACCTAATAATAATATAGTAACTGAAATGTCTTAACAATGTATGAGAGACAGTAAAACATAACCAAATGCCTAGACTTGAATCTTGGCTTCACCGTTCACTAGCTGTGAGAACTTGGACACCTTTGTTTCCCTGAGCCTCAGTTTCTTCATGTACAAAGTGGAGATAACAGTAGTCCCTACTTCATAGAGTTGCTGCAAGGATTTAATGTGATATTATGCATGGAGTATAATGCCTGGCACCCAGAAAGTTCCAATTTAAATCTTTTCTTTTATTTTTATACTTTTAAGTTCTGGGATACATGTGCAGATCTTGTAAGATTGTTACATAGGTATACACATGCCATGGTAGTTTGCTGCCTCCATCCCCCCTTCACCTACATTAGGTATTTCTCCTAATGTTATCCCTCCCCAACCTCCCCACCCCTTGCTATCACTCCCTTAGCCCCCCACCCTCCAACAGACCCCAGTGTTTGATCTTCCCCTCCCTGTATCCATGTGTTCTCATTGTTCAACATCCACCTATCAGTGAGAACATGTGGTGTTTGATTTTCTGTCCTTGTGTCAGTTTGCTGAGAATGATGGTTTCCAGATTCATCCATGTCCCTGCAAAGGACATGAACTCATCCTTTTTTATGGTTGCATAGTATTCCATGGTGCACATGTGCCACATTTTCTTTATCCAGTCTATCCTTGATGGGCATTTGGGTTGATTCCAGGTCTTTGCTATTGTAAACATTGCCACAATGAACATACGTATGCATGTGTCTTTATAATAGAACGATTTATAATCCTTTGGATATATACCCAGTAATGGGATTGCTGGGTCAAATGGTATGTCTATTTCTAGATTCTTGAGGAACTGTCACACTGTCTTCCACAAGGGTTGAACTAATTTACACTCCCGCCAACAGTGTAAAAGTGTTCCTGTTTCTCCATATCCTCTCCAGCATCTGTTGTCTCCAGATTTTTTAATGGTCGCCATTCTAACTGGCATGAGATGGTATCTCAATGTCGTTTTGGTTTGCATTTCTCTCATGACCAGTGATGATGAGCATTTTTTCACATTTTTTGGCCACGTAAATGTCTTCTTTTGAAAAGTGCCTGTTCATATCCTTCACCCACTTTTTGATGGAGTTGTTTATTTTTTTCTTGTAAATTTGTTGTAATTCTTTGTAGATTCTGGATATTCCCTATGTCAGATGGGTAGATTGCAAAAACTTTTTCCCATTGTGTTGGTTGCCTGTTCACTTTAATGATTGTTTCTTTTCTTGTGCAGAAGCTCTGGAGTTTAATTAGATCCCATTTGTCTCTTTTGGCTTTTGTTGCCATTGCTTTTGGTGTTTTAGTCTTGAAGTCCTTGCCTATGCCTATGTCCTAAATGGTTTTGCCTCTGTTTTCTTCTAAGGGTTTTACTGTGTTAGGTCTTATGTTTAAATCTTTAATCCATCTGGAGTTAATTTTTGTATGAGTTGTAAGGAATGGGTCCAGTTTCAGCTTTCTGCCCATGGTTAGCCAGTTATCCCAACACCATTTATTAAACGGGGAATCCTTTCCCCATTGCTTGTTTTTGTCAGATTTGTCAAAGATCGGATGGTTGTAGATGTGTGGCGTTGCCTCCGAGGCATCTATTCTGTTCCATTGGTCTATATCTGTGTTTTGGTACCAGTATCATGCTGTTTTGATATCTGTAGCTTTATAGTATTGTTTGAAGTCAGGCAGTGTAATGCCTCCAGCTTTGCTCTTTTTGCTTAGGATTGTCTTGTCTATGCAGGCTCTCTTTTGGTTGCATATGAAGTTTAAAGTGGGTTTTTCCATTTCTGTGAAGAAGGTCAATGGTAGCTTTATGGAGATAATGTTGAATCTATAAATTACTTTGAGCAGTATGGTCATTTTCACGATATTGATGCTTCCTAACCATGAGCATGGAATGTTTTTCCATCTGTTTGTGTTCCCTGTTATTTCCTTGAGCAGTGGTTTTGTAGTTCTCCTTTAAGAGGTCCTTCATGTCCTTTGTTAGTTGTATTTTTAGGTATTTTATTCTCTTTGTAGCAATTGTGAATGGGAGTTAGCTCATGATTTGGCTCTCTTTTTGTCTGTTATTGGTGTATAGGAATGCTTGTGATTTTTGCACATTGATTTTTTATCCTGAGACTTTGCTGAATTTGCTTGTCATCTTAAGGAGATTTTGGGCTGAGATGCTATGTCATCTGCAAATAGAGACAATTTGACTTCCTCTTTTTCTAATTGAATATCCTTCATTTCCTTTCCTTGCATGATTGCTGTGACTAGAATTTCTGATATTATGCTGAATGGAAATTGTGAGAAAGGGTACCCTTGTCTAGTGCCAGTTTTCAAAGGGAATGCTTCCAGTTTTTGTCCATTCAGTATAATATTGGCTGTGGGTTTGTCATAGATAACTTTTATTATTTTGAGATACATTCCATCAATACCTAGTTTATTGAGAGTTTTTAGCCTACAGGGCTGTTGAATTTTGTTGAAGGTCTTCTCTGCATCTATTGAGATAATCATGTGGTTTTTGTCTTTGGTTCTGTTTATGTGATGGATTACGTTTATAGATTTGCATATTTTGACCAGTCTTGCATCCCCAGGATGAAGCCTACTTGATTGTGATGGATAATCTTTTTGATTTATTGTTACATTCAGTTTGCCAGTATTTTATTGAAGATTTTTGCATCAATGTTCGTCACGGATATTGGCCTGAAATTTTCTTTTTTAGTTGTGTCTCTGCCAGATTTTGGTATCAGGATGATGTTGGGCTCATAAAATGAATTAGGGAGTATTCCTTTTATATATATATTATTTGGAATAGTTTCAGAAGGAGGGGTACCAGCTCTTCTTTGTATACCTGGTAGAATTTGTTTGTGAACCTGTCTGGTCCTGGACCTTTTTGTGGTTGGTAGGCTATTAATTGCTGCCTCAACTTCAGACCTTGTTATTAGTCTATTCAGGGATTCAACTTCTTCCTGGTTTAGTCTTGGGAGGGTGTAAGTATCGGGAATTTATCCATTTCTTCTAGATTTACTGGTTTATGTGCATATAGTTGTTTGTAGTAATCTCTGATAGTAGTTTGTATTTCTGTGGAATTGGTGGTGATATCCCCTTTACCATTTTTTATTGCATCTATTTGATTCTTCTCTCTTTTCTTTTTTATTAATCTGGCTAGCGGTCTATTTTGTCAATCCTTTCAAAAAACCAGCTCCTGGATTTACTGATGTTTTGAAAGGATTTTTATGTCTCTATCTCCTTCAGTTCTGCTCTGATCTTACTTATTTCTTGTTTTCTGCTAGCTTTTGAAATTGTTTGCTCTTGCTCCTCTAGTTTTTTTTTTTTTTTAATTTTGATGATAGGATGTTGATTTTAGGACTTTCTTCGCTTCTCATGTGGGTATTTAGTGCTATAAATTTCCCTCTGGACACTGCTTTAAATGTGTCCCAGCGATTCTTATACGTTGTGTCTACATTCTCATTGGTTTTGAAGAACATCTTTATTTCTACCTTCATTTCATTATTTATCCAGTAGTTATTCAGAGGCAGGTTGTTCAGTTTTCATGTAGTTTTGTGATTTTGAGTGAGTTTCTTAATCCTGAGTTCTAATTTGATTGCATTGTAGTCTGAGATACTGATTGTTATGATTTCAGTTGTTTTTTTTTTTTTTTTTTTTTTGTATTTGCTGAGGAGTGTTTACTTCCAATTATGTGGTCAATTTTAGAGTAAGTATGATGTGGTGCTAAGAAGAATGTATGTTCTGTGGATTTGGGGTGAAGAGTTCTGTAGATGTCTATTAGGTTTGCCTGGTCCAGATCTGAGTTCATGTTCTGGATGTCCTTGTTAATCTTCTGTCTCATTGATCTGACTAATATTGACAGCAGAGTGTTAAAGTCTCCCACTATTATCGTGTGGGAGTCTAAGTCTCTTCGTAGGTCATTAAGAACTTGCTTAATGTATCTGGGTGCTCCTGCAGTGGGTGCGTATATATTTAGGATCGTTAGCTCTTCTTGGTGCATTGATCCCTTTACCATTATGTAATGCCCTTCTTTGTCTCTTTTGATCTTTGTTGGTTTAAAGTCCGTTTTATTAGAGACTAGGATTGCTACCCCTGCTTTTTTTTTGCTCTCCATTTGCTTGGTAAATCTTCCTCCATCCCTTTATTTTGAGTTTATGTGTGTCTTTTCACATGAGATGGGTCTGCAGAATACAGCACAGTGATGGGTCTTGACTTTTTATCCAATTTGCCAGTCTGTGCCTTTTGATTGGAGCATTTAGCCCCTTTACATTTAAGGTTAATATTGTTA